TCGGTTCAGGATCCACTCAGTGTGGACACACTATTTTGAAATAGCAAAACGCTATTTCAAAACAGTTTTTGTGTCTAGATGTGTTAATTCGAATTAGCTTAATTCGAATTAACTATTTCAAATTAAGTTAAATCGAAATAGTGCTGTAATGTAGACATACCCTGAGAGATCTGAGTCATTAATTCTAGAGCCGTCCCAAGAGCCACTGAAACTAGCTACTTCATCAGCTGTTGCTGATCAGACAGCTTTGATCATGGCAGGGCAACAAACAATAGATCAGTGTCCAAAATGCCAGAGGGCTACACAGCAGCTCAAGACCTTTTTTCCTGCCACTACTACCATTGACATTGATTCAGGGTGAATACTCACTGGTAGACTCATTGAGTATAGATTTAAAACTAATAAGCTCATGACTCATTGTTTAAAACTAATAAGCGAAAGTTCTTCACACAGCGCATAATCAACCTGTGGAACTCCTTGCCAGAGGAGGATGTGAAAGCTAGAACTATAACAGAGTTTAAAGAGAAGCTAGATAAACCCATAAAAGGCTATTAGCCAGGGGGTAGGAATGGTGACCTGGCCTCTGTTTGCACAAATCGCTTGATCATTGTCTTTGGTCCACCCCCTCTGGGGCACCTGACACTGGCCACTGTCAGCAGACAGCCTACTGGGCTAGATGGTCTGACCCAATACGGTCATTCTTATGTTCTTACGTAGATGGGTGCCACTCTCTTCGTCCTTATTCAGTCTGGTACCTACCCCCTGGCCCAGGGTACCAACAGACAGGAGTCCAGGACTTTTTCCAGGTCCCATTCATATTTATCCATGCACACCTGAAAGGAATATAGCCAGGGTTTGGGTCTCTTGGGTCAGATATAAATAGCACCTAGTATCTTCTCAAAAGCAGTATTGGATGCTCTGTGGGATGCTTCCAGCATTCAGATCAACATTGCCTCTGTCTACCTCATGGAAGCAGATCCCCTAAGAGACAGCCTTTCTCCAGCCAGTACCAAGAGGTCTGTCTCGATTGGTACCAAGCAACCTGTGGACTTACAATTACAGGAGTTGCCTCAATCCACTTGGGAGCTGCAGCCTACTCTGGCACCACAGGACCAACGTTGGGATTTTCTCTTGCTTTCCCTTCCTGGAGCCTCCTCATCACATGATGTAGTCCTGGCACCAGAGGCATCCTTCCTAGCACCCGATGATTTTAAGGAAACAAATGCACATCAGGAAAATGACTACTTCTCTTAGTATATAGATGGAGCTAGAGGAGAAAAATATCCATGAATTGATTGTTGTATTTAGTATTGTAGCTATATCAGTCCCAGGATATTAGCCAGACAAGGGGAGTGAGGTAATATCTTTCTTGGCTCAGCTTCTGTTGGTGAGAGAGACAAGCTTTCAGGCTGCACGGAGCTGAAGAAGAGCCTGTCTCTTTCATGAACAGAAGTTGGTCCAATAAAATACATTATCTCGCATACCTTGTTCTGCAAACTGATTGATGTTTCACATGTGGCTACAGCAGGTGAGGCAGTCCTGCTTATAAATGATGTCATTATGCAACCTATTAAAACAGTGTAGCAAGGCCTTTTCTCATTTCTCTGGTGGCCAAATGAATGGAATACATATGCTAGGCTCTGTCCCAGAGATTTGAGCAGATTTATTTACATTCTATGCCAAGCTCGCTAGTTATGGCCGTGGTGAACAAAAGGCGTTGTCAGGCTTGTCTGAAGCTACTCCCAGACAAAAAGGTGACTAGAAGCTTGATCTCTCTAGGAGAAAGATTTTAGTTTATGGCAAGTTTACAACTTTTCACTGCCAATCGCCAGACCTTATTGTCCAGTTACAATTATTCTAACTGGGAGGCAATCTCTTGGTTTACAAATAAACTGCTGGAAAGCTCTAGAGAACAGTTCCAGTCTCTTGTTGCAGAAGGTTGCCTGGTTTCTCTATCAGCTCTGCAGGCTTCCGTAGAAACTGCGACTTCTGCTACAGCAGGGGCTATGCATCATTCTTTCTGGGTGCAGTCCTCAGTCTCAGACTCTTTCCTATTTTTGTGGGACAAGGATCTGCTCTATACCTCTCCACCTCTACCCCTGATTCCCAAGGCCATTCTGAAACAAGACTGATGCAGGATGGTATTGGAGTGCTCATGTGTGTAAGGCTGTAATATTCCCATTTATCCAATCAAGAACCCCTGCTCTTGCTGTTAATCAGAGACTTTGTCACTCAGAACAAAGGGTGAGAGTTGCACCAGAATCCATTGACTCTCAAAATGGATCACCAGTTGCATCGCTATTTGTTATGGTGTCAAGGGTGTAACAGCAGTGCACCACCTGAGAAGCTGACAGCACACTCAGCCTCTGCAACATTTGTGTTCCCATTGTAGATATCTGCTGGACAGCAGCATAATCTATATAAACATGCACAGACATTATACACTGCGGCTGTGTCTACATTGGCACCCTTTTCCGGAAAAGGGATGCTAATGAGACAAGTCGGAATTGCAAATGCCGCGGGGGATTTAAATATCCCCCACGGCATTTGCATGAACATGGCTGCTGCTTTTTTCTGGCTCGGGGCTTTGCGGGAGAAAAGCGCCAGTCTAGACGGGATCTTTTGGAAAATAAAGCCTTTTCCAGAAGATCCCTTATTCCTCTTAAAATCAGGAATAAGGGATCTTCCGGAAAAGGCTTTATTTTCCAAAAGATCCTGTCTAGACTGGCACTTTTGTCCCGCAAATCCCTGAGCCAGAAAAAAGCGGCAGCCATGTTCATGCAAATGCTGTGGGGGATATTTAAATCCCCTGCTGCATTTGCAATTCCAACTTGTCTCATTAGCATCCCTTTTCCGGAAAAGGGTGCCAATGTAGACACAGCCGGGCCTGTTACATCCAGGGAAGATGTAAATGTAGGAAGAGCAGTCCTACAGTCCCTCTTCCAGAGCCAGCCCACAACATTTTGGCACCTGAGGTGGGGAGCTCAAATGACGTCCTCATGCCCCCTTGCTTGGGGCAAAACTTTGAAAGATCTCAATTCTCTGGGTCCTAGTGACACCCCACCCCTCCAGGCTTGCACCTGAGGTGACTGCTTCAGTTCGCCTCATGATAAGGCCAGCCCTGCCCTCTTCCCATGAGACACCCAACCCCACTGCTTTGAATAACAGCTTGGGAGCCACCTAGAGTATATTGGATGTACACAAGCACTGGAAGAAGAAAAAATGGTTACTTGCCATCTCCTACCTGTTCTTCAAAATAGGTTGCATACATTAAGCAATCCACCCTCATTCCCAAACACAGTGGGATCCCCTGGCTTTCCAATGTGAGGGGCAAGGCAGCTACACCCTTTATACACTCCACTCAGAGCACAAGGAATTAATGTAGGAGTAGGGTGAGGGAGGTGCCCTTCTCCCTCATGGGTCCCACTAGTGAAAACTCTGTGACACTGGTGCACAGGACACATATACACCTACTCGTAATGAATATATATATGCAACATGTTACAATTACAAAAAGGTGAGTAACTGTTTTGTTGCTCAGATAGGTTGCATATCCCTCATCAGGATGACACTTGCATACATAAACATCACTTTCAACAAATTCTTGTGCCTGCAACTCTGAAATTCACTTTCCAGAAACTTTAATCTTTGGAAAGGCCCAGACATTGCAAATGACCTTCCTCTCTTCTAACTGCCCCCTCTCCTCTATGCTTTTCCTTCTGAAGGAGCATTGCCCTGGGCATGTTGTCTTTCAATCAGATACAAACTACTGGTTTTACAGCTTCTGCCTGTATTATATGAACTTCTGTGCCATAATTATTGGCCTGCTGTAAAACACTTTTCCTTTCTTTGAAAAATTAAATTCTAAACTGGCATTGTCTGTTTCATCATCCCTCCTTGAAGCATACATCTTCTGTGAGGCCTTCCAACAAATGTTCCAGTGCAGAAGTCAAAATCATAAATATAATTAATTAATTTCAAATAGTAATTAAAAATCTGAGCAACCAACAAGAAACATGTGAATCTAATCAACTCAAAGATCTTCTCTCTGTGGGAATAAATCCCATTCTCCAAGAGTAGTTCTTTCCTCCTTTTGTTTAGTGATGTGTTTCTCCCACCCTTCCATATCCCTATCCACCCTGGTCTGTTGTAGTTTTTGTGTTGTGCTCTTGATCTAATTTAGATTGTAAGCTCCAAGGGGCAGGGATCTTGTCTTCACATTTGCCTGTGAAATGCCATGCACACCTATTGTACTATAGAAATGATAACCATTTATATAAGAGTTGATTGCTTAGCATGCTCTGGATCTGGACTTCCCCAGAGTTTTAGGGATAGTGGGTGGCTGGGTCTGAGGTTTTGGTTTGATTCCATTTTTACTTGTTTATATAATGCCTATACCTAACCTCATCTAAGGTCCAGACCTGCAGAATTCAAAGTGTTCACAACTCTTATTAAATTCAGTGGGATACAAGTCACTCAGCACCTTGCAGAACCAACTCTCCCATAATGTGGAAATGTACTAGTGTCCTCCCTCAATGGAGCTTTCCAGCTGCAATAGTAGGATTCAAATTATGCATTTATTAGAGTTTTAACTAGAGAGTTATCAATTTCAAATAAATACCAAATAACGTCTTAGAAATACATTTAAACGGGGAGGAGGAAACTAGTTCTATTGCATAGTTTAGTACATGCTAAATATATATATATATATATATA